CGAACCCCGAGGTGATGTTGGGGAAACCGGTTATCCGGGGCACCCGCGTTACCGTTGAACTCCTCCTGCGAAAGCTGAGCGAGGGTGCATCCGAGGACGAACTCCTCGACGCCTATCCTCGCCTCACGCGGGAGGATCTGCGTGCAGCATGGGTTTCGCCGCCGAGACGCTCGCCAACGACGAGACGATATTCGTTGAGCATCCCGGTTAGCAGGTGCGCTTCCTGGCAGACGAAAGCTGCGACTATGCAGTGATTCGCGCACTTCGGAGTGCCGGACATGACGTCGTAGCGATCGCGCGACGCGTATGCACAAGCCCCCGATATCGAAGTTGCAGCACTCGCCGTGAGCGATGGTCGGGTTCTGCTGACCGAGGACAAGGACTTCGGACAACTCGTTTTCGCATACGGAGAACCGAGTCTGGGCGTTGTCCTGCTCCGTTACTCAGCGAAGGTCCGTGGCGCGATGAGCGGCGATGTCGTAGAACTCGCCGCCGAGCACGGGCATCGTCTGGCCGGATCCTTTGTCGTTGTCACGCCGGCTCAAATCCGCTTCCGATCGTTGCCCGGGTAGGCGCACAACTCAGGTGGCGGCCGTCAGTCGCTCGTACTCGATGTCGGAGGAACGTTTGACGCCGTGCTGCTCGGCCCACTCTCGGAGCGCCCAGGGATCGATTATCGTACTCGGCAGCTTGTTTCCGCCGAGGAGCTGGCTCGCGATCGGGTCGGTGACCTTCTCCAGCAGCCAGTCCTGCTGCACGTCGTAGTCGAGCGGAGTGATCCAGCCGTAGCAGTATCCCATCATCAGGCATTTTCTGGTGGCGTCGGTTCGATTGAGCCCGATGCGATGGAAGGTCCTGCTCTCGAACAGAAAGGCATCGCCGGCCCGCATCTCCAGTTCCACGGCGCCGGCCGGATCGTTCTTGCCCTCGGGCACCTGGAAACGCCGCGTCTGGTTGTTGCTTCCCGGCAGCAGGATGGTGTTCCCGCTGAGCGGAGTCGTGTCGGTGAGCTGATAGGCGATCTTGATCATCAGCCGTGGGTAGCGGTGGGGGCCGAGGTCGAACGGGCTCTCCATGAAATCGCGGTGCCAATGGGTCGACGGTTTGGCGTCCGGAGGGTCCGGGTGGTTGTAGATGAGGTGCGACTTGGCGAGGCGAATGTCGTAGCTAAGCAGATGTACAACCAGCGGTACGGTCGTTTCCCACGTCAGCAGGGACAGGAAGACATCGTCCTCGGGCAGGACGTTGTCCAGGCTGGTGCGCCGGGAGCCGTTGTCCTTGTCCTGCTCCGCGATCCTGTCGCATGCCGCCGTGACGCGTGCCACCATGTCGGCGTCCAACGCATTGCGCACGACCAAGTATCCGTTGCGGTCGAAGAACTCCCGCTGCTCGTCTGCAAGTCTGGTGAATTTCATCTTTCTCTTTGTGCCTCGCATCGCGTTCGCAGTCAAGTGCAGAGCGCGTAGCGCAGCACGTGACGGATAGCCGGTTCGGCTGCTACCCTGTGGACGAAAATGAAGGCGGCGCTGACGTTCGGACCCGGCGACATCCGGGTGGAGTCCATGACCGATCCGGTGCCGGATGCCGGAGAGGTCCTGGTCAAGGTGGGCGGTTGCGGGATCTGTGGCGGCGATTACAGCGGCCACAAACCGGGCGCGCACAAGCTGGCGAACCGCCGCGAGCCGACCATCGCGGGACATGAAGTGGCCGGCACCGTTGCGGCACACGGCGCTGGAGTGCACGGTTTGCCGGTCGGCAGCCGCGTGGCGGTGAGCCCGAATCGGCCTTGTGGACGCTGTCCGCCGTGCCACCAGGGAATGGCCCACCTGTGTGAGCATCGCATCCCACAACCGCGCCACAAGGGCGGCGGATTCGCCGACTACACCGTCGTCTTTGCGGAGCAGTGCTACCCGATCGACGATGCAACCGGCATGATCGAAGCCGCCGTCGCCGAACCCCTCGCCTGCTGTCTGCATTCGACCAGCCGTATCGATGTCCGACAGGGAGACTGCGTCGCCATCCTCGGCGGCGGAGTGAACGCACAACTGTTCCTGCAGTTGACCCGCCTGAAGGGCGCCCGGCGCGTGGTCCTGATCGACAGCATCGAGGAGCGATTGCAGATGGCGTCGAAACTGGGTGCGGACGAGGTCATCGACTGTTCCACCACGTCGTTCGAGCACATCGAACACCGCTTCCCACGGGGCGCCGACATCGTGATCAACACCCGCGGATCGATGGAATTCACCGAACTGGCGTTCAGAATCTGCGCAATCGGTGCCCGTTTGCTGTGCTACGGCGTCGCGGGCGCGGGCAACACGGTCCCGATCGAACCGCACGTCATCTGGCGCAAGGAGATTCAGTTGATCGGCGGGCGTTCCTACAACAACACGTTCGGCGCCGCGTTGGACCTGATCGACTCGCGGCGGATCCAGGTCGCGCCCCTGGTCACCCGCACCGTCAACCTGGAACGTTACACGGAAGTGGTCGCCGCCCCCTCCGGCAACCACATCAAGACCGTCGTGGTTCCCGACCAGCCGCAGGCGGAACAGGTGCGGTAAAGCGGGCGGCCCGAACTGGCCGCCAACCCGGCGCCTTCCGCCGGCGCCCGATGCCGCGGGCTGGACTGCACTCCCTGGAGCGCGTCGTGGCCCGCTCCGCTGGGGCGGCCATCTACCGGAAGACGAGCTTCTTGCGGCTGGTGGCGCACTCCCGAAGATAGAGATTGATCAGCGTCTGGTAGGGAACGCGGCTGTCCGCTGCCAGTGTCTTGAAATACTCCAGCGTGTCCAGGTCCAGTCGTATCGTGACCTGTCGCTTGAGATGCTTCGCATACGGATTGCGCCCCCCCTTCGAGAAGTCGTAGTGGTCTCTCATCGCGCCCACCTGCGTTCGTACTCGGCGCGTTCCATTCGGTTGGCCTTGCGGGCCGAAATGATCCGGATGACCTCGTCATCCTCGCGGTAGCAGTGACAGACCACCAAGGTTCGAAGCGCCGGGCTCATTCCGATGAGCACAAACCGATCCTCGTGGTCCGAATGATCCGGATCACCGATGAGCAAAGCCCGGTCGTCGTAGAACACGGTCCGGGCCTCATCGAATGAAACCCCGTGTTTGCGGCTGTTCTCGGCATGCTTGCACTCATCCCACTGAAATCGAATCTCAACCACACGAGTACAGAATAACTACACTGTAGTGATATCGTCAATTGTCCCGATGGCCCCCCGCACCGACTCGCCCCAGTACCAGGCCCGGCTGGTCGACGCGGTAGGAGCGCCACTCACGATACACGGCAACCCCTCAGAGGTAGTACTCCGCCGGTTCCTGCTCCATCGGTCCGTTGCGCAGTTCCGCGATCGCCCTGTCCACGTCTGCGGCGCGCATGACCGGCTGGTTCGCCTGCGGAACCGCGACCACGAGAGAGCCGCGCGGCTGCAGGGTGATCGTCAGTGGGACCGGTTCGATCTCCATGTGGCCGCCCTGCACCTTGGGCCCTACGTTCCCGCCGCCACGGTCGATGGTAGATCTCATGCCAGGACAACTACCATTCTATCTGCCATCACGCAAGAGCATCTGTTGGGCCACCAGATCATCGGGTAGACCGGCGTATCCTTGTAAATGAACACGCACCGTCGCACAGCGCTCGCGCCATCGCACCCATCGCACCGACAGCACGTGACGGATAGCCGGCTCGGCTGCTACCCTGTGGACGAACCCGAAGGCGGCGCTGACGTTCTGGCCTCATCGATTCGCGACGGATCCAGGTCGCCCACCTGTCATATGCGTTGAAGCGCAAGAGACCAGTTCCATACAGACAACTCAAGGCGTGATCGCCGCGCCAGGGAGACCAACATGGCAGCCGTAACCGTCGCACCGACCAGTGATCGATTCTTGCGCGGCGGACAACCGTTCTTCTACCTCGCCGACACCGCCTGGATGGCGTTTTCCAACGTGCCGGAAGCCATGTGGACCGAGTACGTGCGCTACCGCCGGGAGCAGGGCTTCACCGCGCTGCAGATCAGCGTCCTGCCGGTCAACCACGACACCAGCGTCGCGGCGACCAACGACACCCCGTTCACGCCGCGCGACGGCGGCTGGGACTACGGCGCCCGCAACGCCGCCTACTTCGACAAGGCCGAGCGTATGGTCGCCGAGGCCGTGGAAGCCGGCCTGGTGCCGGTGCTCGGCGTGCTGTGGCGCAACTACGTTCCCGGCACCAGGAGTTCGACTGCCAACCCGGTCGCCGGCCCGATGCCGTTCGACGTGATGGAAGAGTACGTGGCGTACATCGCGCAGCGTTTCCGCTCCTACGAGCCGATGTTCTTCATCTCCGGCGACACCCTCTGGGAGTCCCCGGATGAACCGCGGTACTACCTCCGGGCCCTGGAGATGATCCGCGCCGGGTGCCCCGAGGCCCTGATCTCCATGCACCTGACCCCGCAGGCCGACTTGCCGGACCAGTTCGTCGACGCGGTCGATTTCTACATGTTCCAATCGGGACACCATGCCGACCGGGTCGATCTGCCGTGGCGGCTGGCCGAGAAGTTCGCCGCGTACCGGATCCGGCGCCCGGTGATCAACTCCGAGCCGTGTTACGAGGGCCACGGACGAGTTGCCGGGGCTGGCCGGGTGCGCGGGCGGTGGACACGATCGGAGGTGCGCGCGGCCGCCTGGCAGAGCCTGCTATCCGGCGCCAAGGCGGGCGTCACCTACGGCGGCCACGGCGTGTGGAGCTTTCACACGCGCGACAAGCGGTTCCTGAACGACCACAAGTACGTGCCGATGGACTGGTGGGAGGCGCTGCGCCTGCCCGGCGCCTGGGACTACGGGTACGCCCGCTGGCTGTTCGAGACCTTCGGCTTGGCCGACCTCGCGCCCAACCAGTCCCTGGTAGCCGATTCCGACCCCGCCATCCGCGCCGCGGCCACCAGCGACGCCGGTACCGTGGCCGTCTACCTGCCCCATGCCGTGAGCCTGGAGATCAACGCCGACCTGAGCCGCCACCGCATCACGCTGCTCGACCTGGAACGGCGGCGGCCCTACACCACCGACCTCACGGTCTCCGGCGGCGTTACGCGGCTCGCGCTCCCCAACGCAAGATCCGACCTGCTGATGATCGCGGTACGGGGCGGCTGACCGCGATGCCGATCGCCGTTGTGCCGGACATCGGGCCGCGGAGATTTATCAGCGTCTGGCAGGGAACGCGAGTATCATATGCCAGCCTTGAAAATACTCCAACGGGAGAACGTGGCAGCATCCGCCGGACGGTCCCGAACGGGATGACCGCCGGCAGTGCTCCGGGAGGTCTCGCGCCATGACCGGACAGACACCCATCGAACCGGCGACTCTGAGGAGGATCAGGGCCAGGAACCTGCTGTCTTTCGGCCCTGAGGGGATCGACCTCGAACTGTCTGCCCTCAACGTCTGAAAACATAATAATATAATGAAAATATTGTATTTGATTTTAATAAATGGTATTTTTATTAAAGATTAAGGTTTTTTGATTTTTTTTTTATATTAATTTATTTTTTTAATATTTAACATTTTATTATTTTTTTTGATTTATTATATTTTGTTTTTTTTTGAAGTTTTTTTTTATTACTTTAGTTATATATATTTCTACTTTTTTCTTTTTTTTTTTTTCGATATTTTTTCAATTTCCTCACCTTCCCTGCGATGCCGCTCATTTTTTCTATTTTCTTTTTTTGCTACTGTCACTCTTCTCCTCCCCTCCTTTTAGTTAGCCTTTGACGCTTCTCTCCTTGTGTTCTTTTGGAAGAGATTTTTTTCGGTTTCCGAACGGCTCGGAAAATCGCCCCTGTTGGAGTCATCGTCTTGCTGCAAGCCGCTCCCCACGATCTGGCCGATCCCGTCCGCACCGGCGGCGGCGTCAGTGATTGGATATGGAGAGGGCAGCCGCAGTCCTCGGCGACGGTCGAGGTCATCATCGACAACCCGCATGGAAAACAAAAACCACCGCTACGGCACGTGATCGCGTTCAGAGAGTACGGTCGCCGGTTCACCCTGGACGACGAGCGGATCGAGAACGAGCATCCCTACCCCGGACAACCCGACTCGTACTTCTACTACAGACTCCAGGGCGGGAGCCCCGTGCTGAACGTAGTTGGAGACGACCGGCGGGAGCTTCAACGGGATGACGTCCAACCCGACCGGTCGATTCTGTCGCAGCGGAAAGAGCCCGATCAGTATCCGGAGCTCGCCTATCTGAGCACGTTCTACGAGGGCATCAACCTGTACGGCTCCTGGGAGTTCGGGCGGAGCGCCGGCATCCGTGGCGCGCAGAGAAGCGACGTTCGCCCGAGTCCGCTGACCGAGAACCTGTCGAACCTTGGCATGTTCCTCAACCGGCTGGCGCCGTACCCGGCCGCAAGAGCGCGTCTGACGGCGCATCTGACCGAGCTTTACGAAGGCATCACCGACTTCGAACTCTACTTCGATCCGAGCTCCGTACAACTCCTCTTCACGGAGGGCGATTACTCGATCCCGGCATCGCGCCTGTCCGACGGCAGCCTCAGGTATCTCTTTCTGCTGGCGGCGCTGCTGGACCCGGAACCGCCCAAGTTCCTGGGAATCGAGGAGCCTGAGCTGGGGCTCCACCCGGATCTGCTTCCCAAGCTGGCGGACCTGCTGGTCGACGCGTCAAGCCGGTGCCAACTCGTCGTGACGACACACTCCGACCTGCTGGTCGACGCGCTGTCCGAGCACCCGGAATCGGAGCATTCGTATGGCGAAAGCACGACGGCGAACGCAGCATGATGCTGTCCTCGACCGATCGGACCTCACCCGCTGGCTCGAACGGTACGGGCTGGGGCAGCTCTGGACCAAGGGGAAGCTGGGTGGTGTGCGCTGGTGAGGGCGGAGATCTACGTCGAGGGTGGTGGGCCGCCTGGCAAACTCACCAACATTCGATGCCGTGAGGGGTTTCGCAAGCTGCTTGCCAATCGGCCTCGCCGAGCAGCAGCCAGGGAACGGCGCCACCGATCACGGCGAACCAGCACCGATTTGACGGCGACCGTGGTGCGGTCGTCGTAGTCGGAGGCGAATTGCGGCTCTACTTCAGCCATGGAAGACTCACCCGCCAGGTGTGCCGCAGCCTCCCGTTCGCGGTCGCTGCCGTTCCAGAGATCGAGATAGGTCACGATTGGGCTGGTGCAGAACACGTTCGGCCCGGTTCGCTCGCATCGTCGAACAGGCTCTCATCTGTCGGGACGTGCAGGACCACGTTCGCTCCCCTTGCGGCGGCGTCAGCTTCAACGCCTCCTTCAGCACCTCGGCGCCGGTCGTCGGCATAGAACGTTTGGGTGCCGCTCCGGCTGAAGGGCGCAAGCCACTGCGCAGCGGAGTGCAGCGAGTAGATCGCGCGCGGGCGCTCAGGGTAAGGGTTGAGCTTTCCCCGCAGCCGCTCGTCAAGCTGCCTTCCATGGAACTGGGTGTATCCGGTGATGGACTGACCGGGCGGGGCGCGATAGTTCTCGCGCCACGTTTGCAGCAGGCGTGCGGCTGGATGAGAACGGCGCCGTCATCCCGGACCTCGAGCCATTCCCGTTCCAGCAGGGCCTTGCGGACATTGCTCACATGGCCGTAGCTCGCATTGGCCTGTGCGGCCAGATCGGCGACGCGCCAAGCTCGATCCGGGTCGCGCAGCAGGACGCGCAAGATGGCTGCCGCCTTCGGGGTGAAGATGGAGCGTAGCGCACGGGTCTCGGAGCGGGGCTTGTCAGCGACGGCGCGCTCGATGTAGACGGTGTCGAACGCCAGCCGCGCGTTCCCGACAAGATCGAGGTAGGCGACATCGTGGTCGGTGCAGATGGCGCGCGACTCCGGAGACAGGTAGGGGCTGACAAGCATGGGTATGAGGTGGCCGGCCGCCGTTCGCTTCACCGGATTGGCGCAATCGCGCCACGCAGCTCTCGAGCTGATAGACCCCCGAACGGACGAAGCGGGGGGCTCCGTTCGACTTCACCTCGACGACGAGCGCATAGCTTCTCACCGGGGTAGCTCAAACCGATCAGTCCATCGACACCGTAGGCAGCGCCGACCTTTCGTTCATACTCGACCGACTCGATCTCCACGCTCGGCACGTCGCCGAGCAGGTCGCGAACCGCATCCACGGCGCGATTTCCAGTTCTTTCACTGTTTCTGGACGTTTCAGCACATGCTGAAAATAGCGCCATCAGTGAAATAGTGCAAGCAGACCGCCGGTCAGTCGGCCCTCGCTCTGGAAGTCGTACAGGCCGCAGATCGAGCGCACCGCATTGCGGTAGGCGGAGTGGCTGGTGACGTCAGTCGACCAGCGCGCCGTCGAGGTATGCCGTGCGGCCGTCGCGCGACGAGGCCGCATGCTGGTCGCCGGTCTTGATCACCTCAGTCTTGGAGCCCGCGCGGACTCGCCCCAGTACCAGTCGGGCTGGTCGACGCGGTAGCTGTGGTAGCTCATCGCCGGCTGCCACTGCGGCCACTCCAGTTCCATGCCGTCCCGCTCCAGGCGCCGCTGCAGGGCGGCTACGAGCGGGTCGGCGCGCACGGCGCGCGGCCGCACGCCGGTCCAGGCAGAAGGCCGCCAGGTGGCCCGCGGCCTCGCCGGTCGACCATTCGTTGGGGTGCAGCCGGAAGCAGCCGTTGGTGACGTGGGTGGCGCCGATGTTCTTGCACGCCGGCAGCAGGTTGTCGACCCGATCGCAGCAGCGCCCCGAGCGGCAGTTGCTGCGGCCAGTGCTGGCCGTGGAGGCTCAGCGTGTAGCTCTGCCCCGCCGGGTGCGGTTCGTGCACGTCGATGCGGTAGCCGCCCACCGCCACGGCGTCGGCAAAACCGCTCCGGGCTCCTCCCGGCCCGGCTGCTCGCGATGGAACGAGCGCTCGGTCACCGTGTACTCGGCGCGGATGCGGCGTGACTCGCGGATGTAAGGCTGCACCGCGAGGCCGTCGGCCGTGTCGAACACATCCGGCCGCGGCCTGATGCCGGGGAAAGCCGCGCCCGCCGCCGTAGCCGGGCTCGACCTCGGTCTGCAGGAAATGCACCAGCGCGAGGCTCATGCGGCGCGCCGCCTCGCGGTTGGCAGCCGCTTCCGCGCCGGTGACGCCGCACAACACGCCGCCGCGGTACTCGTTGCCGCTTCATCAGCATCGTCACGTCCGCAGTCGATCGTGCCCGGGCAGGAAGTTGGCCGCGCACAGCACGCGCCGGAAGTTCCAGATGCAGAACTGGTAGGGCTGACTCGATGCTGCTGCCCGGCGAACGATACCCGTGCCGCATGCTTCATGGTCTTCGGCGTTGCCGAGTGACCTTGCCGACCGTGTCGGATCAGCCATGCTAGCGGCGAACAGGCGGCGCTGCTTCAGCGCGGGGTCGTCCGACATGCCCCCCAGGGAGGCGAAGCCGTCGCGGAAACGGGCGTAGTCGGGCGGGCGCTCGATGGTGTGGTCTTCGCCGGGGCGGTAGTCGACCGCGCAACAGGTGCGTGAAGCCCTGCTGCCGGAGGGGATCGGCGTGCTCCAGAGCGTTGGGCTCACCGTCTCGTCATGCGCCTCGGCGCCGATCACGTGCTCGATCTGCCCAGCTCCAGGAGTTCGCCCAGGTCGGTGGCGTCCAGGACGTAGTCGGCGGCGACGGTCAGCAGGTCGCCGCCGCGCGTGGACTGCAGCGTGACCGGCCCGATCAGATCGCCGTCCGCCTGCACGGCCACGGGCCGATGGTGCAGCACCAGCAGGATGCGCCCGGCCGACAGGTAGGGCGCCAGCATCTCCTCCAGCACCGCGCGGCCCACCTTGGGCTCGAAACACAGCGCCGACACCCAGCCGGCGCCGGGGTTGAACGCCCGCTCGGCGCGCGACTGCTCGGTGAGCGGATAGTTGCGGCGATAGTATTCGCGCACCGAGCGCCGAAACTGCCGGTAGCTCTCGCTCGAGCCGTAGCGCTCGATCCATGGGTGCTCGTCCAGCGGCACGCCCTGGGCGGTGGCCTGTCCGCCGATCCAGCCGGTCTCCTCGGTGAGCACCACCCGGCGCCCGGCGCGCGCCGCCGCCAGCGCCGCCGACACGCCGCCGAAACTGGCCCCCACGATCAGAATCTCCGCATCCCACTCACGATGCACCGCAACCCCCTCTCACAAGTAGTCCCAACTCCCCGCCGACCGACCCTGGCGCGCCGAATTGCCCGCCGCGGGCGCAGGTCATCCCCGAGAATCCGGCACCGGCGGCGGTGACTGACCAGGCTCCATAACCGTCAGTTCGTTGAAGTAGTCACGCAGATAACCGCGATCGCGAGCCAGCAGCCGGTCGGCGTGGATCTGAGCGTGCGCGCCGATGAGAAAGTCCGGCACGACCCGCCCCGCGGTTCCTCCGCGTTCGAGATAGCGCGCAAAGTGCTGGCCGGCCAACGCCGCGGCTGCCTCGCTGCCGGGCACAAACTCGATGCCGAGATCGTGCAGCATCTCAGTCAGTCCCTGTTCGACTGCAGCGCGGGTCTGGTTTCCGCGACTACGCATTCACACGCGATCAGGCGTCCTTCCCGACGGGCACGCCGCAGGGCCTCGACGGAAGCATTGGCGTGCAACGGATCATCCGTGATGACGATCGAGCACCACCGAGGTATCCACTGCGGTAGTCACTTACGTGCGAATGCGCGCCAAGTAGGCGTCTACCGTCTCGCCACGCGGTAACCGACCGCGGCCGCGCCACTTGAGCAACGGATCCTCGGCTTCGCGTTTCTGTGCGATCAGTTCTCCGCGCACCGCCGTGACCTCGAGCACGGTCCCGGGGCGGATGCCAAGCGATTCTCTGAGTGCCTTGGGAATCGTGATCTGGCCCTTCTCCGAAACGGTAGTCCGGTGAGTTCTGTCGCTCATACTGGTAGTGTAGGTATTCTTACTCCTGCGGTAAACCCCGCCTGAGCCAACACCCCGCGTGCGACGGGAAACGCGTTCCCTCACCGCGCCGCACGTGACCGACCCATGTCGCGGACGGCGTTCCGGTTGCGCGGGACGAGGGCGGCGGCGTGCGCTACCGGCTGGCCGCTAGGCAGCTTGTGGCCATGATGCGCACCGACACGGCCACACCATGACGCCCACCGCCTATGGCGGCGCCTGCACGGCGATGCTCGGTGCAAACGCTTCGTAGTGGCGCACGTTCCAGGTAATGATCGTCGATGCCTCGGCTTTCAGTGCGGCTACCGCGATAAGCACGTCGTACATCTGCCCGCCGATCATGGTGCGCCGCTGTGCTTCATGCAGTGCATTCCACATCTCGAGTCCCGTCAGGTGCATGATCGGCGTGTCCTTCCAGTTCCTCTCGATCAGGGCGATGGCATCAACGGACCGGAGCCGATGCGGCGCGGGCAGTCGCGTAAGGACCGCATAGGTCTCCGCCAAAGAGTGAGCGGCCAGGACCAGCTGCTCGTTGCTGCGTTTGCGGCGCTCAATCTCGACACTTGTTCGATCGTGATGTTCATGCCACGAACTCACCGCCGCGATCAGGGCGCTCGTATCGCAAAGATAGCGAGTCACCCCTCTGATTCCTGCTCCATGGGTCCGTTGCGAAGTTCCGCAATGGTCATGTCTACGTCTTTCGCGCGCATGACCGGCTGATCCGCCTGCGGCACCGCGACCACCAGCGAGCCGCGGCGCTGCAGGGTGACCGTCAGCGGGACCGGCTCGATTTCCACGTGGCCGCCCTGCACGCGAAACTGGACCTCGGTGCCCGGGCGCAGATTGGCTGCTTCGCGAATCGCCTTGGGCACAACGATACGGCCGGCACGGTCAATGGTAGATCTCATACCACCACAAATACCATTATGATTTGCCATCATGCAAGCCATCGCCACGACGCCCCGAACGCGGGCCGGCTCCGGGTGGTATGATGCGGCGCGGAAGGTCGCCATCATGCCCAACTTGGTGTTCATCATGTCCGACGAGGCGCGCAAGGACGTGGTGTTCCACGAGAAGTATCCCTTCGTGCGCACGCCGAACATCGACTCCCTGCGCGGCGAGGCGGTTTCGTTTCACAACTGCTTCGCCAACTACCCGGTGTGCGTGCCGTCGCGCGCCTCGGTGATCACCGGCCGCTATCCTCACCAGATCGGCGTGCTGCGCAACAGTCACCGCCTGCCGGCCGGCGAGCGCGATCTCGGCCACCATCTGTCCGCGCACGGCTTCGACTGCGTGTCGTTCGGCAAGACCCACAACACCAATCACGGCTTCCGCTCGGTCACCTACGACAAGGTGGCCACCATGGGGTTCGAGAACCACGGCTACATCGAGGATCCCGATCTGATCACCGGCGTGTTCGAAGGGGCCGCTGACGAGTACTGCGACTTCGTGGCCTGCCGGCAGTTCGACGGCTACCTGCGGGGGCGCGCCGGCGGCGGGCCGTTCGCGGCGTTCGTGGGCATCTACGCGCCGCACCCGCCCCTGTACCCGCCGCGCGAGTACGCGGGCCTCTACTCGGCCGACGAGATCGCGCTGTCGCCACAGCCTACCGCACGGGACAACGCGGCGCGGCCATCGATCCAGGCGGTCCCGCGCCGGAGCTGGAACGCCTATCCCGACGCGACCCGGCGCGAAGTGATCGCCAGCTACCTGGCGCTGATCACGCTGTTCGACGACTGCGTGGGCCGCATCCTGGCCACGCTGCGGGCCACCGCGACGCTCGACGACACTTTGGTGGTGCTGGTTTCCGATCACGGCGATCAGCTCGGCGAGCACGGCATGGCCGGCAAGATGGGCAATCTCTACGAAGCGTCGGTCCGGGTGCCGCTGGTGATCCGCCTGCCGGGCGGCGCACTTGCCGGAGCGGAGCGCGCGCAGATGGCGGAGATGGTGGACCTGTTGCCGACCATCTGCGACGTCCTGGGCGTACCCCATCCCGAGGGCATGCAGGCACCGGTGGGCCGCAGCCTGGCGCCGGTCGTGGCCGATCCGGAGGCCGAGCATCGCCACGTGGTGCACGCCATGCTGCTGGAAGGTCAGATGGCGCGCAGCCAGGATCTCAAGCTCAACTTCTACGCCGACGACACGTGCGAGCTCTACGACTTGGCTGACGACCCCGGCGAGATGGTCAACCGCTACGACGATCCCGCCTATCGCGACCGCCGGCAGGAACTGCTGGAAGAGATCGCCCGCTTCCTGATCCGCCACCCCCGCGTACCCGACCGCGGTAGCAACGGGTTCTTCGGGTAGCAGCATGGCCGGGTTCGGGTTTCGGCTACGCTTCCTTCCACTCCGCGTGTCTGTGTGGCAGGGTCCGATCCATGGGTGACATGCTCACGGCGTCGGTGGCAACTTCCGCCGACTCCCGCCGCAGGAAGTTCGCCGAACACGGCGTGGTCGTGGTTCCGGGCTTTCTCGATCGCGAGCAGGTCGCTTTCCTGAACCGGGAGATCGATGCCCACTACGGACCGCTGGTCCGCGAACGCTTCGGCATCGGAGCGGTCTCCCGCGCTGCAATCGAGATGGATTGCGACGTAATCACCTGGGATCCGCTCGGGGAGGAGGTCGAGCCGTTCCAGGTGCTCGCGGCAGACCCAAGACTGGCAACCCTGACGCGCGAGCTGATCGGCGAATTCTCGGCACCTGGGAGCCTGGCGATGTGGTCGGTGGGCGGCGGCAAGGGGCAGGCCTGGCACCAGGACTGTCCCCCGGATGATCCGTCCCAGTTCAACCTCAACCGGTTGTTCTACCTGCAGGATACCGAGGTCGACGATGGCGCGGTGGTGGTGGTGCCGGGCTCCCACCGCATGGGGAGAATCTCCCCCGGCGCCCCGCAGGCGCCGATACCCGGTGAGGTGATGCTGACTCCGCGCGCAGGCACGCTCGTCCTCCTCCATGGACACATCTACCATCGCGTCACGCCCAACGTCAGCCTGCGTCCCCGCGTGTCAGTGAATCTGCGTGCCTACCCCGCCGATGTGCCCCGGGAGATCACCAGGATCGGGCTCTACCGCAACGCCGCATACGACTTTCTGGCCGGCAAAAGGATCGACCGATAAGCCGCCCGCACGGCGCGCAACTCAGCCCTTGAGCCCGGTAATCGTGACCCCCCGTATGAACCAGCGCTGAGCGAAGAAGAAGATCAGCAGCGGCGGCAGCATTGCCAGCACCGATATCGCCATGAGGTGGTTCCAGTACACCTCGGTCTGCGTCCGAAACATGGTCATGCCGAGGTTGATCGTGTACAGCTTCTCTTTGTTCAGGTAGATCAAGGGCCGCACCAACTCGTTCCAGTTGAACAGAAAACTGAAAATCGCGACCGTGGCGAGCGGTGCGATGCAGAGCGGCATCACCACCTTGAGGAAGATCTGAAAGGTGGACGCGCCATCGATGCGAGCGGCCGCGTCGAGCTCGAACGGGATCGTGGTGATGAACTGCCGGATGAAGAATATGAAGAACGCGTTGCCGAAGAATGCGGGCACGATCAGCGGCAGAAAGGTATTGATCCAACCCAGCGTACGAAACAGCACGAACACCGGGATGAGGGTCACGTGCTCAGGGAGCATGAGCGAGGCCAGGATCACGATGAAAAAGAAATCTCGGCCCGGCCAGCTCAAGCGGGCGAAAGAGAACGCTACCAGGGAGGACGACAGCAAGTTGCCGATGGTCGCGCTGACCGCGATGATCAACGTGTTCATGAGAAACTGGTTGAATGGGACGAAGCCGGTCCATGCCTCGACGAAGTTCGTCAAGTGAAGCGGGTAGGGAATCAATTCCGGGGGCAGCCGAAAGACCTGACTGGTGGTCTTCACAGCCGTGGATATCATCCAAAAGAACGGCAACGAAAAGGCAATTCCGAGCACCACGGCAACCAGATGGATGCCAATGCTGCCTAGGAGGTCGCGGCGCTTCATAGGCAGGTCATATCGTCTTGCCCTTCTTCGACTCGTAGTAGACCCAGAACGGTGACGACTTGAACACGGTCAGCGTCAGCGCCAGGATGATGAAGAAGAGCACCCACGCGAGGGCCGATGCGTATCCCATGTTCAGCCAGACGAAACCGTGGCGGTACAGGTACAACACGTAGAACAGCGTCGAGTTCAACGGCCCGCCCTGGGTCATCACGTACGCCTGCAGGAACACCTGGAACGAATAGATGATGCCCATGATGAAGGTGAACAGCAGCGCAGGCGACAACATCGGCAGCGTGATGTGGCGGAATTGCTGTATGCCGTTCGCTCCGTCTACCGCCGCCGCATCGTAGTAGTTGTCGGGAACGCCCTGTAGTGCAGCGACATAGATGACGATGTTGTGGCCGACCGCCCAGACCGACATAAGAACGATCCCCGGTTTCGACCATATCTCGCTCTGCAGCCAGAGCGGCCCCGGAAACCCGAGCCACTCGATGAACAGGTTGATATAGCCGTATGACGGATCGAGAATACTGAGCCAGAGGAATGCCACAGCCACGCCGGAGGTGACCGCCGGAAGGAAGTACACGGTGCGGAAGATCCGCTTCAGAAACAGCAGGCGGTGATTGAGGACCAGCGCACAGAACAGCGCGCATGCCATTCCCAGAGGAACGCTGAGCACACCGTAGTAGAAGGTGTTGTAGAGCGACTTCCAGAACAGATGGTCGTCGGTGAACAAGCGAACGTAGTTGTCCAGTCCCAACCACTCCGGCGGGCTGAAGACGGTATACCGATGCAGACTCAGCACGAGGGACGCGAGCAGAGGCCCCAGGATGAACAGCAACAGTCCCAGCAAGCCGGGGAGTGCAAACAGGTATCCGTCAATCGCCTCCTTGCGGGCGAGCTGCCCCATGGAGCGCCGTTTCGGCCCTTTGCTTGACATACCGGCAACGAACAGCCGGCGACGTGTCCCGAGCACGGTCACGTCGCCGGCCTGGTCGAGCTGAGCTCGCGCGCCTACGGCGACTCCCGGTCGAGGATCCCCTGCCATCCCGCTTGCGCGTCGGCGAGCGCCTCGGCCGGCGTCTTGCGCCCGTTGTAGGAAAGCTCGAGCTGATCACCCAGCACCGACAACATCTCCCACCAGGCCGGGATGATCAGATAGATCTTCCCGTACTGAGCGGAATCCAGAACCTGTTGCAGAACCGGGTGCTGGAAGAACTCGTGCTCCACGGCTGCTCGGCGTGACGGCATCTGGCCAATCAACTCGTTGTAGCGTGCCTGAACGTCAGCGCTCACGAAGTATTCGATCCAGCGCCATGCTGCGTCCGGGTGCTCCGCCGCCGTCGAGATGGCAAACCCTCCGCCGAACACATTGTTGACCCGTTGCTTGCGCAGCAAGGGCAGGGCGACACCCACGTCGTCCACGTGCTCCGGGGCGTACTTGAGCACGCTCACGAACGTCCACAGCCCACCGTATTCCATGGCCCGCTGTCCGGTGGCAAAATAGGGAATTGGAGACTGCGGCAACTGCGCCGTTCCCTCCGGCCTTATTTCCTGGTACAGCTCGGTAAGGAAGGTGAGCGCTTCGAGCACCTCCGGCGTATCGAGGAGCGGCTCGTTGTCAGGGGACAGCAGCTCGCCGCCGTTCTGCCACACGAACTCGACGAATTCCTGGGCGCCGAAGTTGCCGATCTCGACATTGAAGCCTTCGCGCTCTACCTTGTTCCCATCGCGGATCGTGAGAGCCTTCGCGAGCCGCGCGAGGTCGTCCCAATTGTCCAGCGCCTGCTCCGGATCGAGCCCGGCCTCCCGCAAGATGTCCTTGCGATAATAGACATTGCGTATGTCAAGACGAAACGGGACGGTGTAGTAGCTGCCATCCTTCATGTAGGGCTCATAGCCGGCTTCGTAGAAGTCGCCGATCTCACCCCATGCGGACACGTACTTGTCGAGCGCTATGGTCTGCCCCCTGGCGATCATCTCGGCCGCCTGCTCGAGAGCGGGCTCGAATACGTCAGGGACCTCGCCGCCCGCCCATGCGGTGAGATATTTCTCCGAGTGATTGCCCCATCCGATGAACTGCATCTCCAGCGTGACGCCGGGGTTGTCTGCCTGGAACCGTGGGATCAATTCATCCACCATCAGGGCACGCGATTCGGGATTGAAGTCGTTGATCCACGCTGCAAGCATCACTTCCTCAGTGCCCGCCTGCTCGCCCTCGCCGGCGCCAAATGCCAGGGGAACAGCCACCATAGTCCCCACCATCAGGACTATGCCCAGTGCTTGTTTTGCTTTCATGCCTACCTCCGTAACAGGTAACATGCGAGCCCGATCAGGCTCTGCCGCGTCACGGCATCGAGTGCTGCCGTTTGTGCCATCCGTACCAACATGACGATAGCTCTACGATTACTTCGACTGGGAACCTCCTTGGTGCGCAACCGGCTCCATGGCCGTTGCCGGCCGCCGCTACATTTTTTCGCAAAGTGCGAACACCGGTTGGTGAGGACGTCTCAAATGGGGGCTGGGCAACACGCTGGTTCAGACGGCACGTATGACCGTCGCATCGCGCCATCCTATAGCCCCCGCCCAAGGCTGGCAACTTGAAGCGGGGTTCGCTTCAGGATTGCGTCGTGACCCGCTCGCGAGCAGGCACCGTGCGCGGCGTCAGGGCGCGAGGTGGACGGTGCGGCCGGTGGCATGGCTTCGAGAGGGCACGGGCGAACCGGGAGCGCGGCGATGCCCTCGGCGCGCCACATCCGGATGGACGACGTGGGGAGGATGCAGTGCGCCAGGTCTCCAGCTCTTCCTGCCAGCGACGTGGTGAACGGAGGCGCAGCTTTCGAACGGCACCGCCGCGGTTACGCCGGGCCGGTTGCTCTTGGCGGTGGAAGTAAGTTATCGACGAGCGGACTGCACACCGATCCTGTCCCATGCGCCGGATGTGCAGGCGACGGCGGTGCGCGTAGCAGTAGCAGTAGATCGACAGGCGATGACGTAGGAGGACCGCTGGGTAACGTAGCTTCCCGGGCCGCCGCCCGGAAGGCAGAAACTGAAAGCGGCCATCCGGGCTGGTGCCCCCGGTGACGGAGCGGGTGACGAAACCCGTGACCTGCTCGATGGGACCGAACAGGTAGTGCAGGATGTCGGCGTAGTGGACGCCGAGCTGATCCAGCGGCCGCCCGGCACCGCATGAGCGCATTTGTGCTTCCAGTCCGTGCTAGCCAACGGATCGGAGCGGCAGTGCCGCCGTAGCTTACCCGGGGTGCCCAGCTCGCCGGCATCCAGCATCTGTTTCGCCTTGCGCACCGCCCCGGTACGGCGCCCCTGCAGGCCGACCCCGATCACCAGGCCACGGCGATCCGCAACTCCGCGGCCAGGCGCCTCGGCCCTCGGCAACCGTTGGCGGACAGGTTCTCGATTAAAACCGTGATTGCCGCCCACGCAGGGCGGCCATCGCCTGGCGGTAGTGGCATGGTGGTGCGGGGTGGGCAGCAGACCGCCTCTCGACGTCGTCGGCAGCGCAGATCTCGTCAAGGAGAACAGAAGGGCCCGCCGTAGTTGGCGACAAAGTTCCGCCACGTTGGGCAGGGTGCGGATGCAGGGAATCCCACCAGCTCCAGCCGGTCCGAGGCGCGTGCCGCATCGAGCAACAGGCGGCCCAGGGCCGGAGAAAAACGATGGCCAAGAGTACGGGCTTGCAGTTGGCGGCCTCCTCCTGAGCCGCAGCGCCGCCCGAACCCGGCGCAGGGCGCCACGCCAACCCGGGTATTAGTACCAGCGGAGTGGCCACAGACATCAACGCCCAAAACCACCCGCAGCCCCCCCGATGGTCGCGTGCTGCCGCAACGGGCACCTGGCGGCTCGATCGGGAGACTTCGGACTCTCCGCGCAGGAGGAGGCACTGCGCTGTGACAACGTAAAAAAAACGGAGCCTGGGCTGTTGATGTATGCTGTTAGGCTGGCATACGGGGAAAGGATCACCACAGCGCCTGGAAAGCCGGGCGGCAAAGACGTGTTTTTGTGTATCCGGTGTCGGGCTGCGGAATCACCGTGTACGACCCGTACTCGATATATTGAGATCGGGAAATGACGGATGAAAAAGCAGATCTTCGGACTGCCCGGACTCGAAGCTGCGGAACATTCGGCCTGCCGTTGAATTCGCCGAGGATAGCGAGAGCAGTTGGTATCGATACTCTGGAAGGGAAGGTATGATCTTGATCAAAACCTGGAGCCGCGACTGGTAGAAGAGATTGGCATCTGTTTCCGGATCACAACACGTCTCGAGCAAAGAGGCTGGGCTTTCGCAAGATGATGACATCAGTGGTATTGGGATACGCCAAACCACCACGGGTCAACATAGTATCGAAGGGACGACTTCACAGAGAGAACTGGGACGGCGCCAATCAAAAGGGGTGTGGGGTAAGAAGGGGAACGGTACGCCGGTTGATGGACGTCGAAGTCTCCTCGACTTCGCAGGCCCGCGGTCTTGAGTTTGATGAACAAGAGGAGGCTGAATTTCCGCGCTAGCGAGTCCCACACGTTGATGCCGTAGGAGGCGTCTTGCTGGCGAGAGTGGGATATCCGGTTGATCTTGGAAAAAGTAGATCACAGGGCAAGCCTCAATGGGGCGCGTTCTGGAACCGTATCCGTGGGCACCTCGACCGCGCTGCGCGTTGGTGCCGCGCAGAGCCTGAAGGCAGACGACTCCGGGCAACCTGTTCTCCCGTTAAATGCACGGCCATCGAATTCGCCCAGCTCGTGACTCCTGCGACCTCCGCGCCGCCGAGAGTACGGAGAAAAACAAAGGGTGTTGAACGCGCCGCGGCGGCGCCAGCCATAGG